TGTCTTTCAGAAATTTTCCTCAAATTTTAGGGTTTCTAAAAATCGGAGAAATTTTTCAAAAATTTTTTCTATTTCTTTTACTCCTGTACTTCCATAAACATCGTCGACAGGATTTCACGCCCCATTCTAAGGTTAAATTTTGAAATTCTGCGTTCTTTTGTTAAACTGCAAAATTCCACTCTCCCTTGTTTTTTTTTAGCCCAAGTAACGGCTATTTTAAAATGATTCAAAAAGTCAAAAAAGTTACACATTAATCAAAGCGGTTATAACGAAAAAAAGAAAATTTTTTAAATTATATGGTATATGAGAGGATGGCAGAATAGCAACAGTACAGAACTACAATACACCGGGATATGCACGCAAGTTACACAACGATACATGCACGCATGCATGTATGATGCGCATTTAAAACATGTCTGAGGTATAGCGAAAAAGTTACTTCGAAAAATGCAGTAAGGAGCATGGCTCCAAAATCTTTCATAGAAAGGCAATGTAGAACAATAATGAGCCGAGAATATCAAGTACCCGAGTGCTAGGAAGAGCATTCAACAAATTTGCATGATGGAACAACCGGACAAATCTACCAGTAATTATAACAGAACTGAGGAAACTGGGCAGTGTTGGGGTTTTGGAAAATTAGAGTTTATTAAATTTAGTTCAAGTGAAAGCTGCAACTCGAAACAAAAACTGGTCGGCGATCAGAAAAGCAGCGAGGATTAAATGCAATACACAGAAACCTGTCCGGAATAACAAATGCAGTTAACTCATAAAACAGTAACAAATTAAGGCATTTACACAACAATAACAGGTATGAAAGGCAAAAAAATGTACAGTAATTGTCAAGTTTAGCAACGTTAAATCCTCTAAGAAAGCTGAAAGATGGAGAATGTAAGAACCATTTCGTCCGACCGAGAAAGATAAGAGCAAACTGACGGTACGCAACCAGTGAATTCACCCGTCGCTTCTCAAAAACTGATAACCTTTTGCTTAAGCAGAAAAGCACTGTTTCGACGCTTTGTCCCTTAAGTCGCACACAGTCCCGCTGAGCACCAGAACCGAACCCCGTGGCACCAAATAATTAAAAAAATTCTGATCAGTAATACAAAATTAAAAAATATAAAGAATGTTTCATAAGGAATGACTAAATGTGATAAAAATAACGGGAACGGAAATGCACTGAGAAATGAAGGACATCATTCTGGCTTCCGCTGAAGTGAGGAGGAAAAAATGAAGTAAAACAGAGAATAGCTGGAGCCAAAATTTGCTGGGATATTCGGATGTTTCAGTTTTTTAGCAAATGCGTAAATCATGAAAAAGTGAGCTTCTCTTGGCTCTTAGAAGCGTAAAATTGCTCTACAGGCGTAAAATTGCTGTTGCACTGGCGAAGCCTAGCTGTGATGAATCGACACAACCGAGAATTTTACATCCTGTATTAGTATAGTCTTCATTAATGTCTAGTTACTGAATGACTATAGGCAGCTATAATATGGTTACCACAGCCGTCGTACTGACGAGGTCCAACTGTGGTAACGGTAAGAAATGTATGCGACTTAATGGACCGGAACATTTCTTACCTAATTTATTGTTTCCACTTATATTTTCACTTTTTCAATCTTTTCATTTACATCATTACTTCTTTTTACTTTTTCTACTCGCATTTTCGCTTATCCTTAAATAATATTGCCCGTTCCAAACTACATAACTGCCACGGTTTCGTACCCGTACTGTAATGACTGTTAGGCATTTGTTAAATACTTCTTGTTCAGTATAAACTGCTGCATTACAATATATTAAAACTATTATAGTAAAGCTATAAAAGTCCCCTCGTATTTCGAAAGATAACTCGAGTTGAGCTGGCGAAATTCAAAACAGGTCAAGGACAATCTCAAAACTGTCCAATAAACCACAAAGCTGATTAACGTTTCGCGAACAGAGGCAGGAGGCTAACCACCGGGAGATGCAGCGTCGCTCAAAGCGGTTGGCAAGTGGCCAATGCATAAAACTATAGGTTAGTCAAAGGGTACTAATAATAAGTAAGGTAAACTGATAGTCCGAGTGGTCTTAGTGCCAATTGTACTACTGTTTGACTAACATTATGCGATCAACACTGATAGGGCACAGTAGTCCCGCTTTTCTTGATAGTAAAGTTATTCAAAAGCAAAAAAATTCGTTAACTTGATGTTAAATCCAATAAAACGTACTCAGAGGCCCAGTTCAATATACCGGATTTGAAGTGCGGACAAAAAAAAAAAAAAATCGACGAAGGTAGTCACTGCACAAAGTTAACAAAACATATGATGGCTGTACCATCCTGCCTTTAAAAGAGTCGGGCAGAAAAAAAGGCAGAAGTTGCACAGATCCCAGAATTTTCAAATGCTTTTTTTGTACAATAAATCACTTCTTATCATCCAGCAATCTGCTGACCATAGCACGAACCTCATTCGGAGTGTCCGAAATTTCCAGCCATTTTAGCATTTCTTGTTTGTATTTCTTGTTCCGTTCAGCTCCCTGCAGGTAAACTTCAGCATCAGCGTATCTCGAATTGCGAAGTAATGTTACGGCATGTTGAAAGCGAGCTGCTGGAAAGCCACGCTCCGCTGCCATCTTGATCAGCTCCATTCCGGCAACCTCATCCGCATCCGGAAGCCAACCACGTATATGCATCACACCTAAGTAATACGTAGCTTTTGCATGGCCCCGTCGCACAGCCTGCTCCCAGAATTCGGCCGCCTAGAAACAGAAGCTTTAAAAAAAAGTATTATTAACACATTATCGTAAATGAAACGGGAGATAATCCAGTGGAAAATGTGATAGCAAAAATTCATTTACACGCATCCCAAAAAGGTGCTGTTTTGTGTGCACTGTGTGAAACTAAGATGCACTCGAAGGAAAGAGAGCATCTTCGGCCCTAAGCTGCAGTTGCCAGTTCCGGTGCGTGAGCACCTAGTGAAATAAAAATCCTATTTTTATGCGTTTTGTGCTCTGTAACAGCAGTACAAAACGCATATTGTTACGGGGCTGTCAGTGTGTGTGTGTGTCCGCAGCAACTTGTCCGCAACTTTTAACTCGGGG